TTTTTTTTTTTTTTTTCTTTTTTCTTTTTGTCTTTTTTCGTGACCGGCAACGGGATCGCAACCTTCGGTGTTGCGCCCGCACCGCGCTCAACCAGTGAGCAGACCGGTCTCTATATGGGATCCGAACCCTCGGCCGGAGCGCCGCCACGCTCCCAAGCGCCGCACTCTACCGAGTGCGCCACCGGGCCGGCCCAGAAATCTGTTTTTTTAATTGGGTTATTTGTCTTTTTATTGTTTTTGTGTATGTTTTCAGGCAGGAAGTTCAAATTCATTCTTCTGTTTGTGGATATCCATTTGTCCCAGCACCATTTGTTGAAGAGACTGTTCTTTCACCATTGAATTGTCCTGGCATCCTTGTTAAAAATCAGTTGACCATAAATGTAATGGTTTATTTCTGGACTCTTAATTCTGTTTCATTGACCTATATGTCTGTATTTATGCCAGTACTACCCTGTTTTGATTACTATGACCTTGTAGTAAGTTTTGAAATTAGAAAGTGTGGTTCCTTCCAATTCGTTCTTTTCAAGATTGTTTTGGCTATTCTGGGTCCCTTGCATTTCCATGTGACTTTTAGGATTCATTTTTTAATATCTGAAAAAAAAAAAAAAAGCTGAGATTTTGATAGGGATTGCATTGAATATGTAGATCAATTTGGAGAGTATTGCCATCTCAGCAATGTTAAGGCTTCCAGTCTATGAACATGAGATGCCTTATTTAGGTCTTCTTTACTTAGACCATTTACTTAGGTCTTTTTTAATTTCTGTCAAGGGCTTATAGTTATTAGTGTACAAGTCCTAAACTACTTTTGTTAAATTTCTTTCTAAGTATTTGATTTTTTTTAATGGTATTGTAAATGGAATTATTTCTTTAACTTTTCAATTGTTCATTGCCAGTCTATAGAAATACTTTCGTATATCGACCTCGTATCCTGCAACCTTGCTGAATTTGTCAACAGGTCTTAATAGTGTGTGTGTATGTGTTCTCGATAGGATTTCCTTTTCCATTTTTTTTTTTTGTTGTTGTTGGCAACTGGCTGGTAGGATGATCCAAATCCTTGACTGTGCTCTAAACAACTGAGCCAATCGGCCAGTCTCTCCATAGGATTTTTTGTATATAAGATCAGGTCATCTGCTGATATAGTTTTACTTCTTTTCCAATCTGGGTACCTTTTGTCTTTTTCTTGCCTGATTGCTCTGGCTAGAGCAACTAGTATAGTGTTGAAAAGAAGTGGTGAGAGTGGGATCCTTGTCCTGTTTCTGATCTTAAGGGAAAAGTTTTTATTTAGTCTTTTACCATTAAATGTGATGTTATTTAGCTCTGATTCTTTTCATTGGTGTTCATTGTCAGTTTGAGGAAGTTCTCAACTACTTTGAGTGTTTTTATCATGAAAGGGTATTGGATTTTGTCAGGTGCTTTTTCTGTGTCTATTGAAATGATCATGTGGTTTTTGTCCATTATTTGTTTGTGCTTTTTTATTCAGTCAGTGAGCCATCTGCAGTGCTAGAAATGCATAGATGACTAAGGTCATTGTTAAGGAATTCTTTGAATAGCAAGGACAGGAATGATAAGTGCTGTGACAGAAGGAAGCCTCAGAAGCTGTGGGAAGTCAGAGGAGTGTCTTCTAACCCAGCCGAGTGAGAGGTGACATCAGGGAAGGCTTTCCAGAGAAGTGTGTTAGAAAACTGAAGGATGAGTAAGTTAGCTGGGAGGAGGTTGGTGAGTGGTACATTCCAAGCATAGAAGAGGCACTTGTGAAATCAGAGAAGTAGACACTGAGAGTGTACGGTGTTTTGGGAAACTCCTAAGTAATTAAGCCATCAAATAGTAACTGATGAGAGTATTCTCAGTCTTGTGATGATAGGCAACAGTTTAGAACTCTAAGCAGGTGCATTAGTCTCCAAAGCAGGAATAGCTCAGAAATAACTCTCATGTGTACAGGCCAGTGGTAGCAGTTCATCTTCATGGTCCCTTTCTGATTTGTCTCCTTTGGGATCTTTTTCTAGCTTCCGCACTTCCAGCAATAGTCAAGTAAACAAGCTGACCCTGTCAGGGAATGACAGTGTGATCCTTGGTGATACAGCAACCAATGGTGCCAGTGATGAAGAAGATGGACAGCCTCGGCGGGCAGTGGACAATGAGAAAGAGGGAGTGCAGTACAGCTACTCATTCTTCCACTTAATGCTGTGCTTGGCATCCCTATACATCATGATGACCCTGACCAACTGGTACAGGTAGGAGGCACAGACAAAACAGATGGAAGACCACTTAGCTCCTTGGACTGCCTATAAAATATCCATTCGTTGTCCTTATCTCAGAACCCCTTCTCTTACCCCTATAATGAAATTGTGTTCAGTGCTGATTCTTTTCTGAAATACTTTTGACTTTTTCTCCTCTAGCATTTAAAACCCAGTTGGAATTCTTTTAGTGCAGGTCATTGAGAGCTCTTCTAGACTGGAGTTAATCGAGAAAGAAAATCGTAACATAGAGCAATCTGACTTACCTTTATCCACTAATTTTCTCTGTGTCTGGAGATGGCCATATTAAAGTATTCTGGCCCAAGTAATAATGTGCTAAGGAAGAAAAGTTTCAGGGAGGCCATTTCAATCTAGAACTTTTGCCAATAACTGGAACAACCAGATATTCCTGAAGAACCTTGCATAAAGAGTAGTTAGAGTCTTTCATGTTGGCACGAAGAAAAAAGCTGTTTGAGAGGCAGAGTCCCTTGCTCATAAGAACTAAAAGTAGCTTCCTCAGGTCCCTCAGTGTACAACGTCAGTGGGGAGTAGTTCAAGTTAAGTTTCACTGGAGAATTTCTTGGCCTTGGCTGGGGGATTGAGGATGCTGATATCAGGCTCCTTTACCTGATTCTCTACTGTTTGCTTAGCCCCGATGCAGAGTTCCAGAACATGACCAGCAAGTGGCCAGCTGTGTGGGTCAAGATCAGCTCCAGCTGGGTCTGCCTCCTCCTTTACGTCTGGACCCTCCTGGCTCCACTGTTCCTCACCAGCCGGGACTTCAGCTGAACCTCTGAGTGCCAAGGAGACCACTGAAATTCATAAAGGTCTCTTTTGCTGAAAACCCATATCCCTTTTAAGTTTGCTTCAACTAAAATATTGAGTGAATGCTTTGCAAATTTGAATATATCCAGGTTTATATCAGAAGGCAAGATTGAATAATACTTTATGCAGAATCTGAACTTTTCATGTGTGTGTACTAAAATATTGAGTGAATGCTTTGCAAATTTGAATATATCCAGGTTTATATCAGAAGGCAAGGTTGAATAATACTTTATGCAGAATCTGAACTTTTCATGTGTGTGTATATATATATATATAATGTTTATTTGTAAGGATATAGCACAAAGGGAACATTTTAGTGTTTTAAAGTGAACTACAGCTGTGCTGGAAAGAGAGTTCTTTGTAAAGATCTATAGGTTCCTACAAGTTTGGTTTAAAATGTAAGATAGAAGAATGTTGGATATTTGAGGCCATCATTAATATATTTCTATTGCAGTATCCTTAAATAATGCATTTATATATGACAGTTTTTCTCTGTGAAGGTGCTTGCCTGTGTGATACAAGCACTGTTCAGTGATTAAACTCTTCAGAGGTGTAGCATCACAGTTCTTGGGGAAGGATTATGTATGTGGGTCCTTCTCCAGAAGAGTGGTTGCTGATATGGCTACTGCTTCTGCATCTTGAGTATTTTTATTTACTCTTTTAATACAGCAGCGTTAATGCTGCTAGATTCAAGTCTATGGCTTTGTCAGATATGTTAATTTCAATAAATGCTTTGTAGGTTTACTTAAAATGAAGATTCACTGGGAAAATACTGCAACTAGTCTATGTAATTATCTTAAGTATGTAAAAGTAAAATGCATGTGAATTTATTATATTTGCATTATAAAGGTATTTGATTAAAATAGAAAGACTTTAAGCTTTTAAGGCCCTTTCTTTAACAGCTTTTACAAATTAGCAGCCGTTCTTTATTTTTTGGACAGTCAGATTTATCAAGTGTCCAGTGAGGATGCTCCTATTCCTTCTAAAACTTTTAGAGTAACTGATAGGCAGAGTCTTGAACTCATTCAGAAATTATCCTAAATATCTTTTCTGGTTAAGACACTTCGTAGGTGAAAGACAGTGAGGCACCGTCAAGAAACATCTTCATGGCTGGCCGGTTAGCTTACTTAATTGGGAGAGTGTGATGCTGGTAACACCAAGGTCACAGGCTCGGATCCCTGGACTGGCCAGTCACCAAAAGGTAAATAAAATAGTTTTTAAAAAAGTCTTCATGAGAGGCAGCATGCTGGGAAATAGAATTAAAACACTTTGTTCTTTCAACAAAGGTTTACTGAGTGTTCTGCACCAGGCCCCAAAGGTTTGGGGTGCAGCTTTAAACATAACAGACACAGACTCTGCTACCTTGGGCTTAAGAGTTTAGAAGAGTGTGAAAATGAACTGATAGGTGGTTATAATGGGATGAGTTAGTGCTGTAATTTAGGAACTGCAGAGAACTCAAAGGAGAAGTTCCTGGGGTGGAGGGTGTTATGGTAGGCTTCTGGAGAAAGTGATGTCTAAGCCAATACTGTTAAGGATTAGTTGAGAGAGATGGGAATGTGGGATGACATTCCTGAAGGGTAGACAAAACTATATATTAAAGGCAGGGAGGTGAAAAAATTGTTCAATAAAGCTGGAACGGGGAGAAGTAGGCAGGGACTAAGTTATGAAGGGCTTTATCAACCCCACTAATAATTTTGGACCTTATGTTGAGGGCAGAAGAAAACCTATTTAAGGCAGCATGAACAAATGGTGTCTTGTCACTTTGGCTGATATATAGAGAATGGATTTAGAGAGATGAGACCGGGGCAGTCCATATGAAGTCTGAAATGGAGAAGTGGAAGTGGGGATGGGGAGAAATTGACAGCTGAGAGCTACTTAGTAATTAGAATTTTAACACTGGCAATTAATAGATAATGGGGTAAAGGTAGATTCCTGAGTGATTCTAGTTTAATCCTCTGGGTGGATAGTGATTCCATTTATTGAGGGGGAAACAGAGGAAGAGGAACAGGTTGTGTTAGAAGAAGGATGGAGGTGGTTCCTTTAATAATGGTTAATAGGCTTGGGAGTCAGACTGTTGGGGTTTACATCCTGGCTTTGCCATTTCCTAGTTGTCAAAATGGTCAACTAATATTTATTGCGTACATACTATGCTTTATGACTTTGGTCAAATGACTCTACCTCTCTGAACCTTAGTGTTAATGTTTAGTACATTTGATGTTTAAGGAATAAAGTTATTTTGCAAAGTGCTTAACCCATTTTAAGTGTTCTGGCAGTTGCTACTAGTCTCAATATGTGCTAAAATGGGACTGGATGATATTCAAAGGTCAGACATGTTCAACCAGAATCTGATGAAGGCTGGATTTAAAGTGTTCTTACAGAATTAAACAGATGAACATATTGGGACAGTCTCAGTTGGGGTAGAGGTAGGAGGTAGGGAAGCAGGTCTTGATATGAATTGTTGGAACCACTGTCTTTTAAACCAGTGGTTTATCTCAGGTTATGGAGATAAAGTTGCAAAGGATTTGAGGGGCAGATAGGGAGGTTTAGCCCCTTTGCCAGTGTAAAGCAGATACCCCACTTTCCATAATTGAAGGGGAGCTAGGATTAAGAGCTTTAAAGGTCCTAAACTTCGAAAGCATTACAAGTGCCCCATCCTCTTCCTTATGTAATTTAAAATAAAAGCAATACTAAACTGTAAAATAAATGTAACAAAGTCAAATAAAGTTTTTATTTTTTCTCATGATGATAACTTTGATATTAATTTGAAGTAAATTCCATTTAAAAGTTGGGGGGCAGTGTTCCTGCTTTGCTTGGTCATACACTGAGTTAAATCTGCCTGTTAATAGTAAACACAGTGGTTTACTCAAGACTCAAGTGAATTACACATGTGAGTGCTGAATTATATGCAAGCATAAATAATGCCAGCATTTTGAGTAAGCCCAGGATCATACTTTAAAGCAGGGGAGTATTTTGAATCATCAGATCTCATGGTGTCATCTCATTTCCAGATGTGAGTCACCTGGTGTTTCATCACTGTGAATGAAGTAATGTCCTTTTTCCGAGAGCAGGACCGACGCCATTTAAGATAACCCCTCCATTCTGTATAAACTCAGGCAGTAAAAACCCTGGCGGGAAAATGTGGGAGGGGTTGGGAGGAGCCATGCTAACTGCAAAATTAGCTTATGCACTGTTGGCTTGCTTGCATTGGCTAATGGGCAACCGAGTTGCTGTGCTTGCAACTTTAAAAACCCAAAGTAAAAATGGCTCAGTGCCGCACTTTGAATTAGCTGGTGCCGTCCCGGCAGCCAGCAATAAAGTTTTTTTTTCCTTTTCCATATTGGTCTCCTAGGAGGGTGATTTCTCCCAACGCCTATAACATGAATAGGCCTGTCTACCCTCCAGGACTACAGCTTGAAGGCCCTGGCTTTGAGGGTCAGTGTCACGCTCTAGGAATTCATCAAAGGCATCAACAGTAGCTGCCACTTTTACCTAGCTACAAATGGCAGAAAGCTTGTAGGCCCATGCTGGATTAGTTTGTTTTCTAGCTTGGTCTTGCAGGGTACTCAGTTGGGAAATAAAACTTTCTCTTAACCATCAAAGATGCTGCCAAAGAATGGCCACGGACCTGGTTATCAATATATGCTTTTCATGTTCTGGACCAAACCATAACTCAGGTCTAATTTAAACCAGGACATTGAGAAAATGCTGACTCATAACATGGGAAAGTACCTCCGTTGGTCGTCATAACACTGCTATGGGGTGGAAAGGATTGGAGCTATTGGCTCCATTTTTCCAGCTGTGAGAAACACTGAGCTTAAGTACCACAACTTCTTCAGGAAAGGTTGACCTGAAGAGTGGCTATATTGCAATGTAAGTAGTTAACCTGTTGCATCATCAAAAGCCCACAATAAGTATACTTCCTATGTTAGAGTATTTCTCAACTGACCAATCACCATCATACCAGTTCCACTAAGGGAACTAATTTTTGTCTATTCTGGGGCAGAGTGTATGCTTCTCTGTAAAAACATACAGGGGACATGTAGAGAAACAGCTTAGCATGTATGGGACCAGAGTTGATCAAGCCCTGCCCCAGCTGTCCCTAAGGAGCTTGGGCTTCCTTGGATCTCCGAGGGTAAGAACCGCTGCTTTATATTTTCCAAGAAGCCAGAAAACAGCCAATTTCTGATACTTTCTTACTCTATAAAAAGATTCCTACCTTCTTTCCTTCTATGCTTTATCTGGGGGTTGGTTATTTGACTTTAAGAATAAAAGACATGCACAACCTAGCTCCAACCATCAGGAGGAAATAGTGGGCTCTAGTCAGATTGCCTGATTTTGAATCTCATCTTCACTATTTGGCTAGCTGTGTGTCCTTGGGTAAGCTACTTTTCTGTGTCTCATTTTCTCTACAGGGGCAATAATTTTACTTCATTTAGGAGTATCTGAAGATTAAATGAGATTATGTGTGCACTCAACACATGTGTACCCAGCCCACATGAGCACTTTAGGAATTGTTAGCTATCACTGCAAGGTTTTGAGGCCAGTCCAAGAAGTATAGATAGGTCTCGAGAATTGAAAAGTTTGCATACCATCTCTACCACTGTGTGTAGCTAGCTTCATTGTTCTTTCTGTGCACTGGTGTGATCTAATTGTGCATGATCTTTCGGGGCAGCCAGCCCAGCATCTACAGAATACACTGTGCTCCTATAGTGCCTCCACCTGCCTCACCTGGAGGGAAGCTCTGCCCAGTCCTATGAATAATAAACCTCACAACCTTCATCCACACTGTCATTGTCATAAAAGAACTCCACACATATTCAACCTTATAGGGATTTTTATTGTTTAAGACCCAGTCATGCATTCTAAAATTACATATTTTCACCACTTTGACTTAGAAAATACACTAGAAAAATAAACTTTTGGTCAAAACAAACACTGAAGTAGATGAGTCCAACCACCATATGTCCCTACACTCAAAGCCAAACTGAATTTCAGTTTGAAGCAAGGAATGTGACCAGTGGTTGAAATGGTCCCCCAAACTGGTCAGAAAATTAGCCCACCTACCACCCCATGGAGAGTGGTGTTGAAAGGCTCTTGGCCACATAGAGGTTTCAAGTATTTCACTTGTAACAGGTTCCTACCTGATATACCAAGAAGCCGAAGCATATCTGTAAGAATTCACTACAGCAGCCAGCTTCCTGCCTGACTAAATCACACTGCCCAGTAAGATTAAAAGAAAAATAGCTAAGTGAAAAATAGTAAATTCATCACTGTCATCTCCAACCACAAATCACATTGGGCCTTCCCATGGAGTAAGCTCCTATTAAGGAGGAATATCCAACTCTGATGGTGTTTTTTACTTGCATTTCAAACAAACTATTTCTCTGAGTCAGGAGAGTAAGAAGGAATTTACATTTACAAAAGTAATTGATCCCAGTACTGAGAGGCATTACCAGAACTGACATCTTTCCTGAACAGTTGACATGTTTCTGTTTGGTATCTCCATACCTCTTATGGCCACAGGACAGCCACACATATCCGCCAACATTTTACTCCCCAAATGAAAGATTTAAAAGGAAAATTTAAGGTGTGGTATTATTGTGCCACACAGTACTATAGTTTTTGCTACCCAAATGAGAAAGTAATCCCATGATTGATCTGTGAATCAAATGGCATTTAAACAAAGTGCCCACCCAGGGAAAATTCTGAATGGCTCAGTATGTCACAGGAATTCAGGGAAAATGCCTCTTAGGCTCTGACTCTATTTCTGGAAAAAGTTATCTTGTAACCTGGAGTGTTTATAAACCTAGGACAAGTGGCTTCTTGTGAAAGCAGGATGAAGTATGAGGGATCTAAAGCCACAATGCCAAGAGTAGGTAAGAAAATCAAGATGTGAAGCCAGGGTTACATTGGCTGTTCCTGTAGATTTCATCCAGTCTCTCCCCATGAAGGTAGAATAGGATTCTAGGAAGAGGTATAATTTTCCAGAATTCTTTCTGGGGAGTATAGGGGAAGAAGAGGAAGAAAACTCCCATATACCTGAGCTTACAGATTCATTTGGAAGCTTTAGGTACCAATTCATTCAGACCTAAATTTCCTGAATAATTATTCAGATGAGGGAAAAAAAAAAGAAGCCTCTAAAAAGATAAGGTACTGTGTCCCTGTGTTGGTAAAGCCAGTTAGATGCCAGGAACAGCAGAGGGTTGAGTTCAGTGTAGATACCCTTTTCATGATTCAAGGGCGTTAAGTGGCTCGCCCAAGGCCACATTGCAGGGTAATGCTGAAACTCACATCTCCTAATTTACTATTCCTTTCCTTTCCCAATACCACACTACTCTGAATTTAGGGACATGTTAATTTTCAGGTGTTTGTGTAATGAGTCAGAATTTTTCCCTGAAGAAAAATACTCCCAGTTCTTGTGGTTCGTTGTCAGCTCCCCCAGTGTGCTCCCCATTACTAAGGCTCACTGTGTGTTCCCGATGGTCATTCCCTACCCTACTAGGGTAACTTCACACAAATACCCTAGTAAAGCCACAGGGAGACTGCCTTGATTTTCACCCTGGGAGGTTCTGGTTTTGCAGTTTGGTTCAAACCTCCTGATGTGCCAAGACTATTTGATCTCTCTTTGGAGCCAAAACAAAGCATAGCAGCTCCAGGAGGCAGACAAACCTACACTATGACTCCTTTCAGAAGCTGAATGAAACAGCTCGTTGGTCCAACTGGAAAGGCCTGGGAGATAGGCAATATCATTTCTGGTCTTGGAGATATTTCTGTATGTGAGCTTGGCCATCTCTGTGTTAAGTCTCACAGACAAAGGTGACTGGCCTAGGATGCAATGTAGAATTTAAACCTTGGGAACTTGGTAGGGGCTGATTCATTCCTCTCTTTTTCTAGTTTTTTACTCTTGTTTTTTCTCTCTCTCCCCTCTTGGGACCTAAGAAAGCCTCTAAATGATTCTCCAGTCCAGGCTGTTGGGTTCTGAACCCGTATGTTAGCCATCCTACTTAGGCCTTTTCAGCAATGCTGGTCACATCATCATCAGATGGAACTAGAGACAGCCAGCAGTGTGCAATTTGTCATTTCCAGCTCAGCCAAGATCCTAGATGATCCAGGGTTAGTATCCATGATGAAAAGAACTTTTCCTAGAATTGGCATTAACGAAGTAAGTAGTTTCCACCAACAGCTTCTCCAAACATTTTAAAAAGTGCTATAGATGGACAGCTTAGTAAAAACAGATTGGACTTTGAATTTTAGCATACTGTTCTTTCCCTAACTGAGTCATCCACCTTGCCTGCTTAGACTAATAAATGCGTGGAGAAGGTACACACACAACACATTGTACTTGCCACTATTTAATGTGATCGCATGGCATGAATATAAAAGGAAGTAGGCTGAAAGCCATCAGATGAACGACCTAATTTGATGCTTGGGCTAAGGCTAAAATCTTGACAGGGTCTATAGTGCTAAAATGCAGAACTAACATTCCGGCCGGCTGCTCCACCCATACCAGAGAGAGAAACTCAAGTGGGTCTGGGATGGTGGGGGTTGGGGGATGAGGTTGGAGGGAATGGTGCCCAGGGGCGCTGAGGGGTGCCCCAGAAGTGAATCAGCAAAAACCTGCCCTTGTGTTCATTTCCAGAGACCAAAATTTAAGAATCCCAAGGAATGTAACCACTGTAGCCACACTTATAATATACTACCAGACTCTTAAGGATGAAAGGAATTCATACAAGATTCTGGTCACCTCAATTGGCCTAACAAAAGCTATTCTTTTTTTTTTTTTTTTTTTTTTTCTTTTTTGAGACAGGCCGCACCGCGCTCAGCCAGTGAGCACACCGGCCATCCCTATATAGGATCCGAACCTGCGGCGGGAGTGCCGCTGCGCACCCAAGCACTGCGCTCTCCCGAGTGCGCCACAGGCTCGGACCAAAAGCTATTCTTTTAAAGTTTAAACATCACTACAAAAAGGAAGTTGGTACCACTTGAATCCCAGGAATTCACATATTTGTTTCTTTAAAGGCAGGGCCTCTTAGGCCCATATGTACCACCAAAAAAAAAAACAAAACAGGATCCAACCACTTGTATTTAGATAGTAATCTTTCTAGACAGAAAGTAACATCCAGTAACAACCAAATCCCAGAACATTAGCAGCCAAAAGGACCCTAGACATCCAGCCTCATTTTTACAGATGAGAAAGCTGAGGCCCAGAGGCCCATGACTTGTCTGATCACACACCTGGGGCCAAGGTTTCTGATTCCCAGGCCAGAATTCTTTTAGCAAAACACTTGGAATCCAGTATTTTGGGTTGAGTAAAATTATACAGTCATGTGTCACTTAAAAATGGGGATACATTCTGAGAAATGGGTCATCAGGCGATTTTGTTGTTGTGTAAACTTCATAGAGTGTACTTACACAAATACAGGTGGCATAGCCTACTACCCACCTAGGCTATATGGTATAGCCTACTGCTCCGACTACTGTTGTATATGTGGCCCCTCGTTGACTGAAACATTGATATGTAGCACTCAACTGTACTTCTAGGACCCTGTATGATTCTTTTGAGAACCAGGGCTAAGGCTCTATGGGTTAGGGAAAACTTGAGCTTCTGTTGCAAAATTCAACCAATGAATTCCAGAGGTGCTCTGAAGATCTGTGGCTTCCAAATTTGATCAGGAAGTGCTGCGTATGTCTTGATGCTTGCATGATTCAGTTAAGGTGCTTTCCAAACCCAGTGATGGCAACTGGGGCCTGGACCTCAAACTTGAAGTTTCCTGATGAGCAACAGAGTGTCTGTCATAAGGGTTCATGTGAAAGACGAACTCCCAAAGTCTCCCATTTGGCCACCTTACAGGTTTGGCCAAACTGTTTCATAGTAGTAGTACTGACTGGCCATCAAATTGTTTTCTCTTGAAAAGTAGGATCAAAGTGACTTTGGTACTGGTTTTTCTTGCTTCCAAGATGTGTAACAAGCAGATACAGCTTTCAGATTAATAGTTGTAAACTGGGATTCTAAATGGTTGGGAATCAATGGGGACATTTTCTGTGTCTTCCATGGAATAATTCAAGTAACCAAAGGCTTACCTCATGATGGGCTCACCCTCAAAACTCCACAGGCTGTTCCTCCATGCTGCTCAATTACAAGGAACAAGACCAAATCCTTGGCACCTTAAATTCTCCTTGTGCCTCTCCAAAGAAAATAGGAGAGGATTCAAAGGTGACACTCACGGGGACTGACTAATAGCAGGAGTACAACTGTGATTTCACAGCTCGCATGGAGTCATCACATTGCGCATCTGCAGTCAGTCCCTCAGGCAACAATGCCTGGCCCAGGATGCTGTCACAGGCGGGGACAGGTTGGCAGAACTCTTTCACAAAGTCGTCCTCTGAGGCCAGCAGTACCGCATTCCAGGTGGCTGTGTCCAGCTCTCCAGCCGTGCCCCCATACTCCTTGGGAAGAATACTTCTTGGAAGGTTTGTGTGGAGAGAGGTCAGGTCAGACCCATGGAGGAAGAACTAAAGGGGAATGAAATGAAAACACACATGTTCTTAGATTAATCAGTAATGCAGCAATCTCCTTCATGGTAGGTGCTCAAAAAAATATCTGTTGAGTGAAGAAGGGCAACTCTACCTTCCAGTTCCTCAGCCCAAAAGGCTTGGAGTATCCTTAATTCTCTCTCTTATACTGCACACCCTGTTGGCTGCACCTTGCAAATATATCCAAAACCCAACCATTTCACTACCATCCTAATAGAACCATGCCATCATCACTTCTCACCTGTATTCCCACAGTAGCCTTCTACCTGGTCTCCTTGCTCCCACTCTTGTCCCACTATAAGCTCTTTTTAATGTAAGTCAGATCATGTCACTCCTCTATTTACAATCTTCCAGCACGCCCATCTCACAGACTAAAAGCCAAAGTCCATAAAATGGCTCACAAGGCCCATCACAGTCTGGCCCTGTTAATTCTCTGACTCCTCCTCTAACCACTCTCCCCTCCACTCTCCTGGCACCAGCCACTCCAGCCTCCTACCTACCACCCTAGCATGCCGCACATGCTCCCACCTCAAGGTTGTGTCATTGCTGGTCTCCCAGGTATGTGTACGGTTCATTCCCTCACCTCTCAAGTCTGCTCACATGTCAGCTTCTCAATGCTGCCACCTCTAAGCACCCTATTGAATATGCAGCCCCTTCCCCACCTCTCACATGCACCACTCCCTTTCTCTGCTTCATTCCCTCCACAGCACTCATCACATTCTAGGTTATACTAGATAACATATGTAATCCATCGCATCTTTTTCTAGAATGTAAGCTTCCTAGGGAAAGAATTTTGGCCTGTTTTCTTCATCTAGAACATACTTGCACATAGTTGTTGACAATATTTTTAAATAACTGAATGAACATAAAAAGGAACAATGAATACCATGGGCCACAAATAAGGGCATTTCACAGATATAGAACTTGTCCAAAGGCTACTTTGGTAAAAGTTACAAAGAGTATCTTTAGGAACCAAGGTGGCAGGTTCACACATAGATGAGGAAGCCTCTAAATTAGCAATTCATAAACCTAGCTGCACATCAGAAATATATAAGAGATTTTAGAAGCACATATCCCTGTGTTCCATCCCTGAGCTGATGAATCAAAATCTTCAGGGAAAACCCTGGGAATCTGGATCTGGATTTTAAGTTCCCTTCCTTGCAACCTTGAGATTCGGTATCTCTATATGCTTCCTCTTTGAAAAAGAGTGTAAAATTCAGGGCCCAGTTTCTGGAGTGACCACAATGTTCCTAGGCCTAGGAAAGAAGGAGAAAAATACCACCCATCACATTTCAATCAGTGGTACTGCAAAAGGTAAAGAGAGAAGTGGCTCTTCTAGGTCAGAAAGGAAGACTGTCTTTTAAAGTGCCATATATCGTTTCTTAAATAAGACTTAAGCTAAAAACCCACACATCTTATAAACCTTGAACTGCTCCACAAACTATACGGCGAGGCAACATATTAAGTAGAAGGAAAGGCTTAAACAGCATTTTTAAATCCCAAGGTTCTGTAGTAAGAAATAACCATAACTCTCTTAAACGATCTGCCCTGTGTCTATGTTTTGCTCTTCCTCTTTTCCATATCCTCTTACACATATAATGCAATGTTGGTTCACAATGCCCAAGCCAGGATACCAAGAAATCTAAATGATTACAGAACAGGGAGGCATTTTTGATAAAAATGGTGGCTCCTCTCTCTCCTGGAAAATATTACATTCTTATTTTCATCTTCGTCTCATAAAAAAGATGTTCACTTATTTTAACTATAACCCTATACTTTCCAAATTAGTAATCCCAGGGCACAAATAATAAACTAAGATAACTACTAGATGTCACAAATGAAGTAAAAGAAAAAAAAATTCAAGGCTCTGAAGGCTTTAGGATCATCACTTACTCTGTTTGCTATTTTCTCCTTCAGAAATGGTTTAATGATGGCAAAAATGCCTTTAAATATTCGAGGTTCATTCACGATATGGACTGCTTTTATCCGAATGGGGAAACCATCCTGTGGGGGGAAGTGAAAGGGGTGTTAGAACATCTGGAATATCTGCAGACTGTCCCCCATTTATTTTTTTATTTTTATTTTTTAATATGTTATTATTTTACATTCTAAGATGTAGTGGAGAAGTTGGGAGGGAAAGGGAGAGGGGAGGAGGATGGGGAAAGGGTGGGAGGAGGAGGGAGGCGGGGCATAGTCAAGACCCATGGCTCCCCCCTCATTCTAGCAGGGGAGCCCAGGGTGCTTCTGGCAGCAGCTCAATTTTGGCTGGGCTGGATGCAGACTTGCAGGTGGTGGTGGTGGGACATGGCTGAGGCCCTCGGCTCCCCACCCCAGCTTGGGAGCCCAGGGCACTTCCAGCCGCAGCCCAGTGGTCATCGCTGGGCTGGATGAGGACGGGGGGGGGGGGGGCATGACGAAGGACTTCAGCCTCCTCTCTTGGCTGTCCTCCATTTAAATCTTTTCATTTCAAGCCCCAGCATCAGTCTGATTCTCATGCCCTCCTCAAAGACAGCCAAAGTGGGGGCTAAATAGAAAGACACACCTCAGGGAAAGAGTCTCTCCTGGGACCCAAAACTGGGTTAGAAAAGAGTCAGGCAAACAAGCAAAGAAGTTCTCTTGTAGCAAAAAATGGTCTGAGTCTACGTGAATGGATGTGGCAAGTATCAGACCTTCTGGATCAGTATTGCCCAAAGCGTATTTCTCGGGATGTTATCAGGCATAATGCAAAAAAGCGTTCTATGGCAGGTAGATGAGTTTGAGAAATATAGTAAACCAAATATAATCAAACAGGTTTTCTCAGTTGCAGTCCTGTTCAGAGCCTTTAATGTGTGTTTATGGTGAAATTCACAAGAAAGGGAGGAGCTATGCCACATTTCCCACTTGTATTTAACCCGTTTTTCCCCCTCCAGATGATCTTACAGTAGTAGGAAAACACTGATCCAAACTCTTTATCCTGACACTTGAATCTACATGGTATTCAGCTGGAGGCATCAAAAAGAGTAGGAAGTCAAGGGTTTGTTTGCATCTTCCTACTTGCCAGCTGCCAAAAAAAAAAAAAAAGAGTAGAAGCTAAGGAAAGCCACAGTATTGGCTGAAAGTCAGAATTCAAATTTATGATAATGTCCAAATGTGGCATTGATTTGTTTAAATAATAAGCCTGGGACACAGTAGGAGCTCAAACACATTTGTGGAATTCAGTGTGGATAACTGTTCTATCACTGGGGCTCCACAGGTCACAAGAGACAGTGCCCATGTGGTGGGTCAGAATGAACAAGGTGAGGCTTTGGCCAGGTTATATCTTTTCTAGGTGTCAGTTTCCCCATCTATCAAAAAGGAAAAATAACTCTTGCCTTGCCTATCTCAGAGGATTCCTTGAAGGACTGAATGGGTTATGATGACTATACAAGCATTTTGCAAATCGTTAAGCACTGCAGTTACGTACTTCACGGTTCCCAGCAACTTGTGTTCTGACATGCAGAACATGAGGTGTGAAGCATCTGACCAAAATACAGTCTGACAGAACTCCATGTCCCCAAGTCCACAGAGGGCAGGAGAGGCTCTAGCACCTGGGGCAGAAGCACAATTTCTGTTGCATTTGTTGGGAGAATTCCTTCTTTGTATTATGAACCAAAAAAGAAAAAAAAGAGAAAGCATTTCCCTGGTTTTTGGACTCTTGCCCTACTAACGATCTTGCCCAGATTGAAAGTACTTTCCCCCCAAAATACTAGAGACTCTGATGAGAATGGGTGGTAAACAGGATGTTTAAATTTCTCTCCATAATGCTTTTGTATTTTTCCAATTGCAGGAGTGGGATGTGAGATTTGTGTATCATGTGAGATATGCAATAAACATATAAGGATCTAGGGAAAGCCAAAACAACCACAGGACAGGTACATGACAAATAGGGGCCATACCTGGAGGATGCCAATCACCTTTTTGGCTATAAAAGGGCCAAAATGAGATGCTTTTGATAAGCTCACTCCTTTGTAGTCTGCAAGAATTACAATTCCATTCACCTGGGTTTCTTCAGACTGAATGAGTTTTTCTAATGTCAAGTATATGGCTCGGATGTTTTCAGTAATTGGATAATTGCTCGGTATCCATCTGTCTAAGGTTATAAAAGATGGACAGTATGTTACAGAAATGAATACAAGCAAGTGATGAGACAAAGACTTACCTCCTTTCTAAAACTGTTATTTCAAAATGAAAAAAAATTTAAAAAGATATTCTAGTGGCCATGATTCTATTTAGATTAGTAAATGGGACACCCTAAGTAGCAGCTGATGTTTCTTTGCTCCAAACACAGCAACACATTCTAAAATGGAAATACAATTGAGTGTTAAGGTTAAAAGCATGAGCTCTGAAGTCAGACACACCTGGGGATTTGAAGCTTACTAGCTGTGTGACCTTACTAGTGTGGCAAGTCACTTCCTCACTCTGATCCTCCATCTAATAAGTAGAATAGGATAATAATACCTATCTTTGTGGACATCTATGCTTTCTGCCATCAGCTATTTCCCCTTATTTTCATAACACCATGCTGATTTTCCTTGGGGAATCACGTCTTCCCACTCTAGCCATGCAGTTTGGATAGAAGTGACTTGACTCCTGAGTCTAGAAGTAGGCAAGTGCCTGGGGATAGATTGGCTAATCTGGTATTACATCCTCCTGGCTGCGGTGTGTGATGCAAGTCAGGGCAAACACAGCTAAGGAGATTCAATTCTCGGACCCTGGCCCTAGAAAGAGAAGATCTCTCTTCCTTCATGTAGTGGTGAGGCTGTGAGCCTGTGATTCAGGGGCCCCACGAAAGAAGAGCTGGCCTGAGAATGAAGCCCATGATAAGGAAAGCAGAGCTGGAGACAGCTTTTCAATGCCGTAGTTTGAACCCCTGAATTCAACTGTGCCCTGACTGCAGTTGTCTGAGCAAATGAGTTATCTTTTTTTGTTTCAGCCAGGCTGAGTTGGTTGTCTGTCACTTGTCACCCAAAGAGTGAGTCCTAACTCATATACCACCTTCAGGGGCTACTGTGAGGATAGAGCATAATGCTACGTTCCAGGAGACCCCTCACGGAATTCCCCTTTCCAGGGTGGACACTCCTTTAATACTCCCCATATACTTAATGATCCTTTCCTCTCTCTAAAAAGATGAAAATGACAATTTTAGATTGTTAATCACTATTCTCAAGATCTCACCAAGATCTGTGTTCCCCTTTCTTAGAAAGACAAAACTTAACGTTTGCCACCAATGGGATATGTAGTATGTGCAAAATTTCTATGAAAAAATATTTCTCCAAAAATTGTGCCAACTTGCTATTTAATATTGCAGCTGGTTAAATCTGCCTCTACATAACTGGATGCCGTCCCTTTAAATCTTGTATGTCTCAAAAGAGCTTAAAAGAGGCAACGTGTTCCCCTTTCTTAGAAAGACAAAACTTAACGTTTGCCACCAATGGGATATGTAGTATGTTCAAAATTTCTATGAAAAAATATTTCTCCAAAAATTGTGCCAACTTGCTATTTAATGTTGCAGCTGGTTAAATCTGCCTCTACATAACTGGATGCCGTCCCTTTAAATCTTGTATGTCTCAAAAGAGCTTAAAAGAGGCAATGTCAATACCCAGTTGAGAACAAAATGTTCTGCTGGGTCAGTGGGATGGGGTCCAGATCTGCTTCAGGCATGTGGGAAAACAATCTCACCAGGAAAGGGCTGAAATCACACAAGCTACGAGGTGCAACCAGTGTGGTAATATCTGACTGTTTTGTAATATTCTTACGAGTTGAGTACAGGAAAGAGCAGCAGAAAAACCTGTCGACTGGTTTCTAGGTCTCGTACTGCCCTGATATCTGCACTGCAGTGCTTATTTAAAATACACACCTCTAATTTTGGAAAGTGCCTAAAACAGCAGACAAAGCTGTTAACACTGCACCTGGTACACAGTGAAGGCTGAAAAGAATGGTTTAGTCTGCAAAGACAGTTTGGTGAATGACTAAGGAAACAGTGATGTGGGTTTAAAGGCAGAGGAAGGTGCACGGAGGTGTCCACTCCCTATGAGACCTCCCTTCAGGAGGTGTTTGTACACATGAGCAAAAGCAGGCTACCAGCAGGTTCTCATTTCCTGGCTTGCTTGAGAAGAACATTGCAGTCTTACTTCCCATTTTTTTCTCAGCTCTGGTCTGATGGAATGTGTTGAGGCTGGGGCTGGAGTAGAGAACACTCCTAAGCTTATAATGCATTTGGTGTCATGGAAAAGAACAGGATTAAGAATCAGAAGGCTGGAGTTCTAGCACCCCCTAGTCACTGTGTCACATTTCTAAAGGCCCTTTGAAGGGAGACGGTGGGGGAGCTATCCCCAATTGCAAACTACCATGCCAAAGAAATGTAAGGCACCTGATTACTAACATGAAGTGCCAAGATCAAAAAATGAATCTAAAGTGAATCCAGGGCTGGCCGGTTAGCTCAGTTGGTTAAGAGTGCAGTGTTAATAACACCAAGTCAAGGGTTCAGATCCCCACACTGGCCAGCTGCCAACAAAATAAATAAATAAAATAAAAAACAAAGTGAATCCTGTCAGTGCCTTAACAAAACAGAGGAAAGGAAAGAAAGGTTGGAGGAGGCATAGAGTAGGAACCTTTTCAGGCATCTGCCTAGCCCACACTCTTTCACTGATATCTGTACCTAACCCTACTCACAAAGGAGGGTCAAGGAGCATCCTGCTTGTATCCTATGAACAGGGGCAGATTGCTCAGCCCACCAGATTCTCTCCCTTAGAAATCTGGAATTTGCATTGAGGGAACCTAATTGGGTGGTCAGGTAAATCTGAGAGTTGTGGGGTGCCAGACTTAGCTATGTCCAAAGAGGTAGCAAAAGCCAGTCTACAGAAAACAGTGTGAAGAACACATGCAAAGGGCAGCAGAAATATGTGGCCCAGAGGACACACAGACTGAGAGAGACAGGAAGAATGGCTGCCTTAGCAACTGGTGGCATTCTGGTTCTTAGTTCTAGGGACTAGCAGGAGCTGCCTCACCTTTAGTTCTCTGGTTCTGGGAGGTACTCCTGTCTCCTTAGACTAAATCCTCCCTTTTTCTTAAGCTGGTTTGAGTAGGTTTTTATCATCTGCAATCAAGGAGGGGTAAAAAAGGGAACAGGAAAAGAAAACAGGGTGCTGGACAGATGCATTCCAGACAGACTGCACAAACATGCCCAGCAACAGTCTAGAAAAATACCTGGACGGATGCAGAGGACATGACAGCCCCTGGGGTCAGTGTGGGGCAGCACAGTGAGGAACCCGGAAGCGAGGACATCTTTTAAGGCTGATGGCTTCAGGTTATTGAAGACTTCGGGCCAGCTTCTCCTGCAGGTGTGGTAGTTGACCAGGAGCTGCAGGGCCCGGTCGTAATCAAACTTGCGGGCTCGGAGGAAGCGCAGGAGGAAGGCGTCATCAAGAGATGTGCTCAGGTTTGGGTACTCCTTCCGCACCATGTCACGAAGGGCCTGCACATCCCGAAGTCTCCATTCTGGCTTCTCCTGCAGCTCTTCCCGGGCCTTGGTGACCAGTTCTTCTGTCAACGAGCACACATAGCCAGGAGGCTCAGGTGGTGGTGGCAGCTCATTTTCGGAGAGTGAGGCCGCAGAAGGGCTGGTTCTGAGAGAGTCACTTTCTTCTGACATTAGCTACCAGGATCCCTGCCAACACAGAAGCCCCAAGTGAAGCTAAAGCTCAGCACTGCTTGTTTCAAACCCCAGGGCAGCAGGACAGAGGGGACATGAACATTTTTGTCAAAGCCAACTAACCTCAGGGCAGTGGTTCTCAATTGGGGGAATGAAGCAGACCCAAACCAGAGGCCCAGGCCCAACCCCAGACTGCTGCAATTAGAATCTTCTCAAAGGCACCCAGGCAGCTACGGCAGATGAGCACACTCAATAAACACCATGGCCTTGTTTCTAAATGTAGGAATAGGTGCTCAGCCTTACTTGACATTAAATAGATGTGAATTAAACCAACTTTAAGATTCAGCTTGACAAAAATAAAAAACAGGTACTCTGATGTGCTTGCTGCCGGTGAGAATATAAATTGACACAGCCTCTTTGGAGGGCAGTTTGTTGATATCTACCAAAATTTAAAACATGCCCTTTGGTTTAGCAATTCCGTTTCTAGGATGTATACTTGTATGTATACGCAAAATATGCTCATGACCATTACAAGTATTGATTATAATGGTAAAAGACTGGAAACATCTTAACTGCACATCAGTAGGAGACTGGTTAAATACCATATGAATGGGGCACTATTCAATCATGAAAAAGAATTAGGCAGATCTTTATGAACTGACATGTTAAGGAAAAAGCAGGTTGCAGAACAGTGTGCAGAAAATAATCACGTTAAGGGCCGGCCCATGGCTCACTTGGGAGAGTGTGGTACTAATAACACCAAGGCTGTGGGTTCGGGTCCCTATACAGGGATGGCCGGTTAGCTCACTTGGGAGAGCGTGGTGCTGACAACACCAAGTCAGGGGTTAAGATTCCCTTACCGGTCATCTTTAAAAAAAAAAAGGAAAAGAAAAGAGAAGAATCATGTTATTGTTTTTAAAATACAGTCATGTCACTTAACGATGGGGATGTTCTGAGAAATGTGCTGTTAGGCAATTTCATCGTTGTGTGAACATCATAGAGTATACTTACACAAACCTAGATGGTATAGCCTGCTACACACATAGGCTATATGGTCGGTATAGCCATTATAATCTTACGGGACCACCGTTGTATATGCAGCCCGACGTTGACCGAAACATAGTTATGTGGCACATGACTGTATATACATAAGAAGAGTCTTCAGAAAGCTGATGGAAAAATTCATATTATCTTTTAATTCTATTTATTCCATGAACTTTTTGAAGTACACTCACATTTGTACTTGTAAACCCAAAGAAAATTTCTGGAAGGAGATAAACTGTTACCAATGGTTACCTCTAGGGAGCAGAACTGGATAACTGGATATTTAAGATAAGAAAGAGACCTTTCACTGTACTGTTTGAATTTCTCTCCACGTACCCATGTAACTTATCATGGTGGGTGTGCAAATGCGCTGGTCAGATCTCCTGCTGGGGAAACATAATTGACAAATGGCTTCAGCTGCAGCCCCTCTGGATCCACCATCCAGTGGATGCCACACTTTCCACAACCAGTGATTGAATGAGACGTGGGACTCCTCTAGCAGGTAACTTTGGCTCAAGGACTCTCTGTTAGCCTGGCCAAACTTTCTTGGGACTGCACTGCAGCCAGAGGCTCTTCCTGAACAAACCTGCTTCACAGGGGTCAGGCCCACATCACTGTCAGAAGGCTCTTCCTGACTTCTCCGGCTCCCTTCCCTCTACCCTTCACAGGCATTGCCTCCAATACATTTCTTGCATGTCTAATCTTTTCTTAGTGTCTGCTTCTTGGCAGACCTGAGCACACTTATTGAATGAATAACAAAACAACTGCTGTAGATATTCCAGGAATAAGGTAGCAGCAGGACTGTCCAGTTCTATAGCCCAAGCTCTTGTCCACAGGCTGTCACTGATCCTCACTCCAAGCTCAACAAAAAGAGCAGGGACCATCTCAGGGGTACCTGCACATACCTTTGAAGCCTAACAACACCTCGCTGGTCTCCTCCCAGTAAATTGCAGCCAGAGTGACTAGGTGACTCCCTCTAAATCTTATGTCTGCCCAGTCTGTTCCTTGCATTCCAACTTCCAGCCCCACCCAGCTTCTTTCACTTCCTCCCAGATGTGTTCTCTCATCCTGTGCACATCCTTTTCCTCTGACTAGCATGCCGTTCCTCCAGTTCTTCACCTGACCAATGCCGATTCACTTGCAAGTCCCAATTACATGCCACTTCATTCATTCAACAAATAAGGAGCACTTACAACGTACCAGGCCCTCTTCCAGGTGTTGGGGATACAGAAGTGAACAAACAAAACATCGAACCTTCATTGAGCTTAGATTCTGGTGGGGAAGATAGACTATGAGCATAATAAACTATATAGTCTACTTCACAGTGATATGTACTTTGGAGAGAGAGAAAGCAAGGAAGGGGACTGGATATACCTGGGGAAAGGGGTTGCAATTTTAAACAAGGGACCCAGGAGACATTTGAGCAATGATGAAGGAGGTGAGGGAGCAAGCCTGGCATATTTGGGGCAAGAACTAAGTGCAAAGCCTGAGGCAGGAACATGCCTGGCTTTTTCAAGGAACAGCAAGGAGACCAGTGTGGCTAAAGCCAAATGAGCAAGGTGGAGAATTTTAGCAGACAAATTAAGAGATACTGGGGCCCCAGTGGTACAGGGCTTTCTAGGGCAGTGAGCACTTGGACTTTTTTTACTCTGAGTGAGAAGGGAGCCATGTAAGGTTTTGAGAAGAGTGACCTGATCCAATTTATGCTAAGGATCACTCTGCTGTCTTGAAAATGGACTATAAGGGGGTGAGGACAGAAGCAAAGACCATTTAGAGTCTACTGCAGTGATCCAGGTGAGAGATAATGGTGGCTTGAACCAGGCAGCCTTAGCTAACCCCCAGGCCAGGTGAGGCACCTCCTGTGCAGTAGCTTTTTGGCACAGCACTTCTCCTATTCTGTTGTAATTGTCTGTAGGCAATTTGTGGGCAATATCCATGCCTGTCTTGTTCATCACCGTAAAGCAAGCACCTAACATGATGTTAGACACACAGTCTGCACCCCATAAATATTTGTTGAATGAGTTTAATTTGCTTGGTGGAGGCAATGCTGAGTGAGGAATGGAACCACAGTCATAGCTCTGTTTCTATGGAAGTCACCAACAGATGCCAGTAATCCCAATCCAGTGCTTACATGGGAGACAGTGTCAGTGGGCTACAGGCCTCTCCTCAAAGGCTCTCTCCAGCCTCATCTCCCACTTTTTCCCTGCCAGCCAAAACAAATGACCCACCATTCTTGGAACACCTCATGCACTTCTGATACCTTCTGCTTGGAATTTCCTTGCTGTTTGTTCCTAACCAAACAATTCACCACCTTCAAGGCCCAGGTTCAATGTCACCTCCTCTGTGAAGCCTTCCCTGACTCCCCTAGGGTGATTTTCTCCAATTTTCCACAGCACTGGGTTCCTATTTCTCTCTTAGGAGCTGCATTCCAGTGTCATGGGTGTCTACATGAAATCTCTCAGAGTCAGTTTCACCTTCCATTAATTTACCAAATAATTACTGATTACCTACCTATGTGCCAGGCACTGTGCTCACAGGTGCTGGGGACACAGCAGCAAACAATATAATTCTTTGTTTTATGAAGCTACATCGTAGTGGAATGATGAAAAGAGAAAAAATGCACATGACCATTTTACCATGTATCAAGCACCATGGTAGCACTTTACATCCATTTTCTCATTTAATCTTCATAATATCTGCTGAGAACTTTACTTTCCCACTTTACCAAGGAGGAAACTGTTTCTTAGATGTAAATTTCAGGAGGGCAGAGAGCTTGCCTGCCATGTTCACTGCTATCCCCAGTGCCTGGCACATAGAAGTGCTCAGGAAATTTTAGCGGGAGCTATGAGGCTAAGTGACGTGCCCAAGGGCACACACCTAGTGAGGCAGATCGAGGATGCGTCTAGCCCCACCCTTGACTCATAATCTTTACCTTCCATCTGAAGCTTCATGTTTAATCCACACGGCTTCAGAAGTGTCAAGCACCGAGCAGGGCTCAGTCTTTGACGACTGAGCTGGTGGGTGGACATATGGAAGGAATGCAAACACCATTTGTTAGGGTGAAGCCGGGAATCTGCCCCACCTGGAGCCCATCATTTTGTGGAGCACCACCTTCCTCCCCAGCTCACCCCCAATAACGAGAGGTCGAGAAGCCATCTCTCTTGAAGCCCCAGAGACATCATATCCCGTTGACAACCTTCTCCCACTTCCGGTTGTCACCCCCTCCCCAAGTGTCCCCGTTTCCTGGGGTCTCTCGCTTCTCTGTTCCGCACTTCCGGTTATCCCTCTCAGGGGTCTCGCTCCTCGGCCCCCAGGGCACAAGGACGGGCGTGTGGGCACTCACCGGCCGGGCTGCGGGGCGGAGGCGGGTCACTCGGCGGCGAGAGCCTTGTCCAGCAGCGTGCACAAAACCGACCCGCACTCCGTGCCCGGCCGGCTCGGCCCCCTGCGCCGGAAGTGACGTGCCGGGGCGTGAGAAGGCGGGGCGCCGCCCGTGAGTGCGCATGTGCGATGTGCCGCCGCAGAGTCGGTTTTCTGTCCCCACCCGGCGGTCCGGACTTCGTGCTGTGGGACCCGGGCGGGCTGGTAGGAACGGGGAGCGCGAGCTGCTTGTCAAGCCCGACTTACAGCTGTGGGAACTGAGGCCCAGAGAAGGAGGGAAAGAAGCCGCCATTTTCCCGGAACGTGCTACCATGTTCCTAGTGTTTTACATCCATTATCTCATTAGATCCTCATATGTATGCAGTTCCCCTATTTCACGAAAGAAAAACTGGTAATCAATGCAGTAAAGTAACCCAGATTTCAGGATTAGCATTCTAGAATTCCTCCCACTATGGCTGCCACCAGGACTGGCGGCTCCAAAGGCAGAGATTCCAAACCGGGAGACGTCTGTCATTAGCTGAGTGACCTTGGGCAAGTTTCCATTCCTCCTCGGGCCTCAGTTTCTGTATCTGTAACTGGGTTATGGACAGATTCTTGCTCTGGGTCCTGATTCAATAATTACTTGTTTCCTGCTTTGGGGTTCATGAAAGTCCCTCCAGTTTGAAAAAGACTTTGCTAGCCCCACCCTTAGTCCATTAAAACCACTATACCCCTCCCGACGTATACTTTGTGCAACTGCAACTCTGGGACAAATCTCCTAGGTATCTCTTTCAGGCAAAGTAAAGACACTGAACCATTTCCAGAGAGAAATTCTGATAGTCCAGGACAACTTTGAGCCCAAAGAGATGACCTTAAACAATCTCTTCCTTTCCCTACCTTAAGGGCAAGAGGAGTCTCAGAGATATGGGAAGCGACCCTCGAAGGTCAAAAGAACATGACAGTTTCTGCCAGATGTTGGATTGTGTGTGGAGGGGTGGAGTGAGGGAGAAAAGGGGGTATTCTGGGAGTCATGAATTTTGACTCCTGCTCTAAGCTGTACCATTTCTAGGGTTGCCAGCTAAAATATAGAACACTCAGTTAAATTTGAATTTCAGATAAACAATAATTTCTTTTTAAGTATAAATATATCTCATGCAACATTTGGGACATATTTATACCTAAAAAATTGTTGTTTATCAGAAATTCAAATTTAACTGGGCATACTGGGGTTTTTGTTTTGTTTTGCTAAGTCTATGTATTAGTTTCCTATCATTGCTGTAGCTAATTACTACAAACTTATTGGCTTGAAGCAACACAAATTTATTCTCTCACAGTTCTGCAAGTCACGGGTCTAAAATCAAGGTGTTGGCAAGGCTGCATTCTCTCATCCGTTTGCATGCCTTTTTCAGCTTGTAAAAGCCACCTGCATTCCTTCACTCATGGCCCCTTCCTCAAATCACTTCAACTTTTTTCTGTTGTCACATCTACTACTAACTCTGATCCTCTTGTCTACCTTATGTAATCATAAGGACTCTTGTGATTACATTGTGCCCACCCATATAATCTAGGATAATCTCCCCATCTCAAGATCCTCAATTTAATCGCATATACAAAATCCTTTTTATCATGTAAAGTAAGATATATACAGGTTCCAGAGGGAGGAATTACTGAGCCTGCCAAAATCTGGTAACCCTAATCCCAGCTGTGTGACCTTGGCCAAGTCACTCAAATACTAGTTCCTCATGGGCAAAAAGCTGATTAAATGAACTCATAAGAGGAAACACTTTTCCCCATGCTGGGCAAACAGTAAGTGCCTCATAAATGGCAGCTCTTGTGGCAAAGGGCAAGGAATGACCTTGTCCAAACCATGCTGTCCTGGGTGTTGGGATAAGACTCTTTCCTCAACCCATACCCACGCGTGGTGGTACACAGAGTCCAGATTGCAATCCTAGATGCTGCCACCAGGGGGAAGGGAACTTGGTCTCAAGGGCAGGGCAGGGCAGAACTAGCAAGGGGATTCAGAGATGCCCCAGAAGTCCCTGCCCCATCCCTCAATTGAAGGCCGTGATTTCTTGTTCCTCTTAATGTTACATTTTAGAGAAAAGAGTTATCTCAGATTGGAAGGGCCTTAGAAAAACAACAACGATAACAGTTTCCACTTTTTGAGGAATTATATATGCCAGATGCTGTTCTTGTGTGAGCTCGGTAACACCTTACGGCAACACTGTGAACAGCTAGCTAGGACTGTTCCATTTACAGAAGAGAAAACTAAAATTCAGAAAGAGAAAGTTATTTGCCTAAGGGCTCAAGACATTCAATGAAAGAGCAGGATTCTAACTCGAATCTGTATGACACCACAGTCTCAGATTTTACATTACCTTAGAGGTCATGTAGACCTCTTTGTTTTTATAGGTTGAGTAACAGTCTCAGAGAAGGACAAGAAATTGCCCACAGTCACATGACAAGTAAGTGGTTGTGCTGAGATCTGAACTTCTGTCTTCTTTTCCACCTTGGACAGTTAGAATTAACAGACTTTGATTGTCCCCTTAAAAAGACCCATTTTCTTATGTGTAAAATGGGGGTGTCCCCCTTGTTTAAGGGTCCCTGGGAGGATTTGATGGAATGGCATGTGCAGAGTTCTGTACATTATATCATAAAATACCTATTTATTGGTTATGTTCACCCCACTCTTGAGCAGAAAGATCACCAGAGGGCAGGTTGCTCTGTGTCTTGGCTGGAAGTCTCCAAGTGGCCCGCTCTTTTAGCCTTATCCAGTCTCTGAAGAAAGAAATCTTGACATTGGGTATATCCTAGAATTGGCTAGAAATGCATGAGCTGTCTCTCTTTTCAGGGCGTGTGATTTGGAGCTCAAACAATCTGCTAGAACCAGCTTTAGTACTGATTCTAAAGTAAGACTTATTTAAGATGATCCTGTGATATAAGGCATAGTTTCTCAACCTCTGCACTATTGACATTTGGGGCTGGGCAAGTCTTTGTTGGGGGGTGGGTGTGAGAGGAATGTTTTCCTATACATTGTGGGATGTTTAATGGCACCCCTAGTCTCTACCCACTAGATGACAGTAGCACTCCACATTAACAGTGATGAAAACCAAAAATACCTCTAGACATTGCCAAGTATCTCTTGGGGGACAAAATTGCCTCCAGTTGAGAACCACTTGCATAGAAGAAAGAAGTGGGTAAGTGCAAGGTGTTTGCCATAAGGCCTAAGGGTTAAAGGAGTTTGACCCCTGTGAATTCTTGAAATGACTACCAAGTCTTCCTTCTAGGACAGCCCCCGTGCTGAGAAGAAACTACCAGGAAGGAAATAAAAATTGAACAGTCTAGAGAAAGGAGAGATAGTGTAAAGAGAAGGGCTAGATAAATGTGGGGAAGGGGAACAGAGCCAGAAAACCTCAGAAAACAAGCCAACATATTTTTTAACAATGTGCAAAAAAACAATAGGTTGAGCTCTGTGAAGACAGAAAAGCAATCTTAACCAAGCTTCCTTCTAAATGTTCAGAAAAACTAATATCTCATGAAAATGAGCAATGGAAGGGGCTGGCTTGTCAGCTTGGTTGGTGAGAGTGTGGCACTGATAACACCAAGTTCCAGGGTTCTAGCCTGTATCCACCAGCTGCCAAAAAAACCCAACAAACAAACAAACAAACAAACAAAAACAAGCAATGGAAAAGTATCAAGGTCAAATTCTAGGAATACAAATAACTATGAGAGAGAAAGAAAGAGAGCGAGAATAAAGACCAAATATCATCCATATGAACAATAAAAGTACCCCAGGAAGACATTTTTTTTTTAAATGATGAAAACAAGCTAAAAGACTTTAACAAAATGATATAAGGCCAAAAAGAACAATGTAAATCAGAACTATAAAAATTCAGAAATGAGGTGTCAGGACTCATAAAAGAATTAGAGATAAAAGAAAAAACTATTTTAAGAAAAGAAAACTAAACTAAGTGGAATATAAAAGCAAATTAAAAAAAAAATGAATAGTGACTTGAGAGAAGTAGAAAGTGAAAAGGGAAAATTTGTAAAATTAAAAATAAGCAAAGCGATAAAAAAAGAAAGTGAAAAATATTGAAGATACTCAATGAAGAATCCAGCATATTAATAACAAATTCACATGTTACTGAACAAAAAAACAAAGGAGTACATCATTGACTTAGAATGACCAATATCAAAACATAGTTTAGTAAAATTACTGGTTTTTAAAGAGAAAGAAAAAACTCTTTAGCCATTTTGAACATCTAGGCAAAAAGAGTTCCTTATTTATAAAGGAAATAGAATGTGGTTATTATCAGACTTTTCAACAGCTTTGCTTAATGCCAGAAGAAAATGGTAAACTATATTTGAGAAACTCAAAGAAAGAAAATATGAGCCAATGATTTTATATCCAGCAAGACTCACTTCTGTAAAAGAACTATTATCAACTGGTGAGCACTCTGGGAATATTTTTTCCATGAACCCTTCCAGAAGAGTCTACTTGAGAATAAGCTTCAGACCAACAGCGTGACTAGAGAGACATTGACACAAAGACTGGTGGTAAGTATTCAGTATTCAAATAAGAATGAATGATGGTTAAAAGAGGGTTGAGAAAGTATGTAATGCCTGTGTGCTCCACCAGTGTAGCTATAGTACAACATCCCAACTGTTGGAGATTGGGCATATTATATGCAAAAATTCATGTATGTATTTTCAATATTCATAATTGTGGTAGTTTTGCTACTGTTATTCTAAGACTGTTGTATGTGTAAAATGGGCTAGTGCAAATCAGTAATTATAGAATCTTTCCATTTTATCAGCCTCTGTGACCTTGGAAACCAAAGATTTTAAGTGTGGAAGAAAGGAGCTACATATGTAATATAGAAGAGGTTAAGTGAAAGTCCTGCAATGCTGTTTTTGCATTGGAAATATCAGTATAAACTCGAGAGTTTCTAAAAAGAAGTGTACATGCATGTGTATACACACACATGTGTACATAATACGTAGTTCTACCCGCTAAAAAGGCCTAGAAGAAATGACCAATCTAGTAGCAATGAGCATATCTTGCACCCAGATAATAATTTTGA